CTGTGTCTTTGAACTACAGCTACAGTGTTCTTTCAGTAATAGAAAACAGCAAATCTCCCAGAGGTAGCTTTTGTGTATCTTGATAGTTCATCAAGATTTTGTTTGTAGGTAGTATCAGACACGCTAGCATTAAATAAAATCACTATGATATTCTCTGAGATATAATCAGGCATCATCAGCTAATCAAACTTTCTTGCTAACTAACATTATCTAATAGATGCTACAGAAATGTTCAGAAATTTTAGGGCTAACAAATAAAAGGGAAGAGAAAACTAAACATGGGCCCATTACACATGTTTACACAGGTAACCCTTATACATGTTCGACTTTCACTTCCTCGCATTGGCACTTAGGTTGCATTGATAGTACAAGCTCCCAGGTCAAATGCCTTTGAAATGAAGGTGAACAGCTGACCACTGACTGGAACTTGTGAAAAACTTAAAATTTTATCTGAAACTTATCTGCATGAAAAAAGGTTAATGCTGGAGTTCAACATAGAATTCCTCTATCGCTTGATGAAATCATTGAAGGAATTCAAAATTCTTTCCCAGAGCCTGAGTTTGAGGAACAGGTTAATAAATTCAAATTGGGCACTTCTCCAGTGAAAGTTATGTGAAGTCTCTCTCACACACACACACACACACACACACACACACACACACACACACACACACACAGACATGGCTCTGAGGGCCAGCTGGCCTGGGTCTCCAGGGGGAGATATGCCACTTTTATGCAGACTTTCCCCTGATCCTTCCATGTGCCCTGTCTATCTCAATTCTCTGGCATGTGGCTTCCCATTTGTGCCTATATAGAAATGTGAATCAGGGACTCAGACAATAATGTCAGTTTCTTTTAGATAACTCCAGAAATCCCCAGACAAGCAGGGTTTATCTGAACAAAGAGATTGAACAAGGTAGAAGTTTTAAAAAACTGTGGAAGTTTTGAGAAGTGTCTTTGTTAAAGATGGATGGAGAAGGGCATCAGATGGTCTTCGAAATTCAGGGCTTCCTTTTTATTTTAAACATTTAAAAAAATTTTTAATTTCCCCATATTTTTAATTGGTGTATGTATTATGGCTATACATAATGGTGGGATTTGCTGTTACATATTCGTACATGCACACAATATAACAATATAATTTGGCCAATATCACTCCCCAGTATTGTCCCTTTTCCTCCCTTCTTCCCTCCTCCTGGTTCCTTTCCTCTACTCTATTGATCTCCCTTAGATTCTCATGAAATCTGCCCACCCCAACTTTCTTTTCCTTTTTCCTCTCCAACTTCCTCATATGAGAGAAAACATATGATCTCTGACCTTCTGAGTTTTGCTTTTGCTTGACATAGAGTTCTCTAGTTCCATCCATATTCCTGCCAATAACATACTTTCATTTTTTCTTTTATAGCCGAAAAAACTCCATTGTGTATATATACCACATTTTATTTATCAATTCATCCATTCATGGACACCTAAGCGGTTCCATAGTTTGGCTGGTTCCATAGTTTGGCTATTGTGAATTGTGCTGTGATAAACATGAGTATTATGTATGATTATAGCATGCTGACTTTAATTATTTAGAATAAATACCAAAGAGTGGTTTAGCTGTAGTTTAGTCATATTGTGGTTTTATTCCTTGTCTTTGGAGGAACCTCAAAATTCAGGATTTTTTATGTCTGGCTTTCCCCTAAGACCCAACAAGCACTCCAACCTTGATTATTCAGGACATCTAATCAGACTCCAGATGTGACTCAGGCCCTAAGGCATTAAGAACACTGCACCATGGCAAGGCAAGGGAGAAGGTTACAAACCCAGCCCTTTGGGATTCAGCTGGGACTGGGCCTCCTAGGCACTGGAGTAATGGAAAACTCTCTCCTGCACATCTGTTCATCCCAGCAAGTTGACATCATTGATGGAACATCTAATGACATAAAAAATGAGGAGCATGGAAAACAGCATAGGTTGGAGTAAAGCAGTGTAGGTTCCTTGTTTGCAATTTCACTTCAGCTTATGTTATTTGTACTCTGTCTTACATGTTCTACAATTTAAAATGAGATCCGAAACACTTGTCATCAGCCCTATTATGGAGTTGTCCTGTGTGCATGTGGCAACACTAAAACACTTTCTCTGGGTTTCATTCCTCTAATTTCTCCTTTTTCCCATTCATTCTACTCTCTTAGATGTTCAGGTCCTCTGGAGAGAAGAAAAGACCCAGCTTAAAGCAATGGCAGAGGATTACCAGAGTATGTGAGGACAGCAGAGCTTTCGTGCAGGCTGGTGACATTGGGGCAAAATCCCCTAAGCTGAATTGATAGGAACAGAGATTACCAGGAAGAAAAAAAAAAATCAAAACTACTTCAGCCCTGAAAGAAGTGATTCAAAACACACTTAGTATTTGGGGAACAAAATATTTTCCGACAGGTCATATTTCTGAACTCAAGGTGAAGTCCCCAAGGAAAGAAGCCTGTGTGGAATTTGCCAAAAATGCATTCACATGGGGCATTTTCAGTAAGGCATACTAGTGAAACTAAGTACAAGTTACCACTTGTATTTAGTTTGATGTTAGAGGCCACTGTTTTCATTTTCTTTTCTTGTTTTGTGAAAAGGGTTCAGGGAGGGTGCTAGGAATGAGACCCAGGACCCTGTGCATGCTAAGCATGTGCTTTGTCATTGAGTTACAACCCCAGCCCCTCATTTTCTTTACAGTGCTGCTCATCGTTATAATCATATTGATTTCTCCCAGGCCTTCTCAGGGACTGTGTGATGAGGTTCAGGAATGTACAGATTCCCTGTGTTTTGGCTTCATATTTAAAGTCAGTTATCCTTCCTTTGTCAATCAAAGGATATTCCTTAGGAGCAGCTGCTGCTGTACTACCTGGACCCTCTTACCAGGCTGATGTACCTGTCCCCAGCTCACACCTGCACTCTCCAGATACATGATCCTTGGTTGGTTGAGGGAACTGCTTTCATATGAAACTGGGAGATTAGTCTTTGCCTCCCTGGGGCAGTCCTTGGCTAGTCACTGACTTTCTTGGTTATGGGACAACTTCAAGGTGTTATTCAGGATCCAGACCTCACCAGATCACCTGAGGCCTGACCTCACCTGTACCCCACATTTGCTCTGCTATATTCCCTACTCTTTTCTGCTTCCCTCACCATCATGTAAATTTCTCCCAGGAAGTCATTTTCCCAAGAGTCTTGCCTCTGGTTCCCTTCTAGTGATGGTGATCTAAGACCCACTCTAAATCAGGTGAGGTTTGGATGTGACGTGCCCAGTCCCTCACACTCATGGAAGGGTGGCAAGGTGCAAATGGACCTCTGTGAAAATAAGCAGATGGATATATCCTTCAATCACCAGGTTCAACTGCAAGTAAAAGGAAGGAAGTGCTATGTTTAAACAGATGTATGTCCTTTATTCCATTATATTAAGAAAACTTATATCAAGAATAAATGAAGAAAACATATTGTCACTCTGGTTATTTTAGAAAAGATAAAATGGAAGATGCACTGGAAGGACTGTTGATTTTTTCCCAACATGGGTGAGTATTTTTAGTAATGGAGAAAAATTAAAAATCAATTTTATTAGGCTTCAGGGAAAATATTTTGCAACATTGACCTTCGTTCTGATCCCTACAGTGTGACCCTGGATTCCAGACTAATGCTCCCAGGATCAAGATGTCCACAGGCTGTATGTACTGAACTTCTCTTTGTCAATGCTGTCTCCTCTTTGGGCCACCTCAACATGCTCAGGGCTTCATACATGGAAGCTCTACATCCTATGTCCACAAAAGTCATCACTGGACATTCTTACCAATTGAGTATGTCCAATGTTCTGATCATGATTATAGTCCACAGGCCTGCACCCCTATCTTAGTCAATGACATTATCGTTCTCTGTGGTCTGATCAGAGATTCAGGTGTTACCAACAGACAAGCTATTCAATCTTTCAATGCCTGTTTCTTCATTTTAAAAACCATTATAATGGTTTTTAAATCTTTTATCAATGAGTTGTTACTACAATGTAATATGCAAGTACATGATCTCATTGGCATATGGAAATTCTTATTTATTGTGCATGTGGCCACAGTTAAGGTCAAAGTATGCAGATCTAAAATGGATTTGTCAGCATTGGCTTGCCTCCTCATATCTTTTGTCTTTCTCCTGCAACCAAGTGGCCTTGATTTTCCAAATTCTCTTAGACAAAAGGCAGATGCACAGAAGGGCAAAGCAAATGCTACAAATACTTTTTTTTTGTGTGTGGGGGGGTTGGTAATACTGGGGATTGAGGCAAGAACCTTTGCATGCAAAGAATGTCCTCTACCATTGAGCTACATCACCAGCCCACAATTGCTTTTTAAGCCTTGGTTATATCAATCTACTAATATTGTGCTTGATTTAATCTTGTATTGTTTTGTTCATTAATGCACTATGAATGATAGGCTATACCATATATATCCCATCTAACTTAGATGTGTAGTACACTGTAGTATCTAGGTTTATGTAAATACACTCTGATATTTGCATAACAAAACTGCCTAATGCCACATTTCTCTGAAGGTTTCTCCATCGTTAAGTGATGCATATCTGTACTTTAAAGATAGGTAAGCCTAGAGAAATCTATGAGCTTCTCATAGATTGACTACAGCATCTGCACATGGCCTAGCCCAAAGTGAAGTGTTGGAGAAGTATGCTGTACCAGGGAGGTTAAAGTGGGTGGGGAGTAAATATTTTTGAATAACAGTGTAATATGCTGCAGTAGTGTACCACACTGCTTCACAGTGTTGTCAGGGAAGTTAATTAAGATAATATTTGTGAAGTGCTTAGAATAGTACCTGGTATATCTATTATCTATCTATCTATCTATCTATCTATCTATCTATCTATCTATCTATCTATCTATCTATCATCTATATGTTTCCTCATCTTTCCTTAGTCAGTAAAAATTGAAGTCTTGTACAATTCTCTCAACTATATTTTATTTATTTATTTATTTATTTATTTTTAAGGTTTTATAGTTTATTAATCCTCACGAAAAAGTCGCATAATCACCGCAGATAAAGTCATTGCAGAATCTTTACTCCTTTGGCTTTTTGCCAGCACCAACATTGGCCTTCGCAGTCCCCCTGACTTTCTTCATTCTGTTCTTGCGTTTCTTTTGCTGTTTTCTTGAGGTCTTCTTCTTTTCATACAGGCCATGTCTTGCCAGTCTATGTTTGGGTTCATTTTTCTTTGCATAATCCAAGGAATCATAAATCATGCCAAAGCCAGTAGTCTTGCCACCTCCAAAATGGGTTCTAAATCCAAACACAAAGATGACATCTGGTGTGGTCTTGTACATTTTGGCTAATTTTTCTCGAATATCTGTCTTAGGTACTGTTGCTTTCCCAGGGTGAAGAACGTCAATGACTATTTGTTTCCGCTGAAGCAGTCGGTTGGTCATGAACTTCCTGGTCCGGATAGTTACTGTGTCATTCATGGTGGTGGTAGACGTTCAGACTCAACTATCTTTTAAATGTGTCAACTATACTGCTGTAGCTATAAGAAGGCTCCCTGTAGATTTCTCATGGCTAGCCTGTCTTTAAAGTACAGTCAGGTATCACTTAATGATGGTGACACTTGAGAAAGTGGGAACGGCCAATTTTGTTGTGTGAACATCAGAGTGTACTTACACAAACCTAGATATTATAGTCTACTACCATCTATGTATATGGGGTATACATGTTATAGCCTATTGTTCCTAGAGCCGTAATGAACAAAACAACATGTGATTAGGCAATCAAGAGATGCAGTAATTACAAGATGTATGGGGCTGCTGATGGCATAACATGGCATATAGTTTCATAATAAATTTTGTATTTTATAAGTAGAAGGAGTGCACTCTAACAAATTGATAAAAGTATGGCATGGTAAATACATAAACTAGTAAAGTAACCATTTATTATTATTATCAATTATTGTATACTCTACATGATTGCATGTGCTGTATATATCTTTACATGGTGGGCAGTGCTGAAGGTGTGTTCACACCAGCATCAGCACAAAGACCTAAGGAAGGAGTTGTGCTATGAAATTATTATGGCTATTATATCACTAGGTGATAGGAATTTTTAAGCTCTTTTGTTGAACATATGGGAACACTATCCTGTATGTGGTTGGAAGTTGACTGAAATGTCATCATGTGGTGAATGACTGACTGTGTTTGGCCTGAAAGAACAATCAAGGCTTGCTGTAGGAGAAAATGCCCGTTTATTGAGGAATAGCTCTGCATATTTATAGAGCTAGGGGTGGTTTGACAGTTGGCATGGGGTGCTTTTTGATTGGTGGGTAAGGATCAGGTGAGCCAGCAGAGCTAGTCTGATTGGTGGGTAAGGATCAGGTGAGCCAGCAGGGCTAGTCTGATTGGTGGGTAAGGATCATGTGAGCCAGCAGGGCTCACCATTGGACGGCTCTTCTTGGGGGTGGGGAAGTTAGTCTTTGGAGCCAGGGCGACTCCCAACATGGCCCATTTCTTCTCCTGTGCTGTGCAACTCACTGCTGCAATTCAGAATGTGATTCTTGGCTTAAGGACTTCAATCATTTCCACTTACTATTAAGTAAAAACTAATTAGTACTTGACATGTCACATAAACATCAAGCTGCCACGACAGTCCATGCTCCTTTTGTCTCCCTGATGCATCCTACAGGCAGTTGGGTTCTGTCCTGTCTGGATTTTGCAGTGAAAGTGAGGACCATTCTGCACCTGGAAGTTTCATTGCAATTCTCCATGCACATAAACCTGGAACTCTTAGGTCGTTTGGAAGGCAGGGGGAAGCTTGATGAGTCTGATAATATTAGTTCTTTTCAAAAGATGATGAAAGCTGGTGAGAAAGAGATGTTTCTGTAGCTGGCTAAACTAAAGCTCACTTTTCCCCATGTCCTTGTATGTCTGGGGAGAGTGAGGAAATAATGGATAAGGAATGGCAATGAAAATTCCCTAGGAAAGAATTCAAGAGGAAAAATGAGGAGAGTTTTTAGAAAAAGAAAAGGCAGAAAGAAAAGAGAAAGGAAAAAAGAGAAAACTGTTTGCAATCTGGAAGACAGAACCTTTGTTACAAAAGGAACTACTCTGGCTTCTTTGAAGAAAGTTCCTGCTCAGGTTTCTATTCTGTTTATGTAAGTAAAGGATGCAACTGTTGTGGGGATGGGGAGATTTAGTCCTGATTGGTTGGTTGCAGCTCACAGTTCATTGGTCAGGCCCAGGGTGCAAAAACATATTTTCTAGGGCCTATTTATCTTGGTAGTTGAAACAGGAACATGCCCCAGCAAGCACTGCAAAGTTCAGTTTGTGGTTCTTCCAGGAACATAGTGTTTGTGTGTGATCCCACAGTTAACAAATGGCTATTAGGCTTCCTTCTGAATTTAGGCCCATGAGCCACTTGGGATGCTTCTTGGAGATTCAGCTTTACTTAAAGTTCACAAGAAAAAAAGAGTGGAGGTTTAAGTGTGGTAAAAATTATGTGGCACAGAATCCACAGTCTATGGATTGAGGAATTCTAAATCTTGTGTCTTTGCTGTGAGAAATGTTAGGAAAATTCTCTTTGTATAAGTTATCTATTGCTGCATAACAAAAGACCACATGGCTTAGTGGCTTAAAATAACAAGGTATGTTGTTTCTCACAGTTTTGTAGTTGTCTGGGTGATTCTTATGGTCTTTTTTTGAGTTTATTCATGTAACTGCAGGTGAAGTGAAGACCAGAGATTAGGCTCAGATGGGATGGTTGGGTGGCTCTTTCCATGTAGTCTTTTTTCCTCAAGGAGGCTACAAAATATTCCAAGAAACATGCTTCAACAAGTAAGCCTGGCTTCAGCCATTGCAAGCATGAGTCATTTTTTTTCTGATGTTTCATTGGCCCAAGAGGGTCACATGGACAAGTCCAGAATCAGAGTAGGAGGGCCTCACAGAGTGTGGACGCTGGAGATTTGATGCATTGGGTGGGTGGAGGGGTCATTAATACATCAACCTGCCCCATCCTGTGTGAATACAGTGAAGGAGTCATGAATTTGGAACATTCTGTTTGCAGAAAATACAGTTTTTAAAGACTGCTCTTGTAGGAGAATTTGGCTTTTCTTAATATCTGGACAGAGAAGATTAGTTATCTGTAATCATGGTACCAAAGAGTGAAGGAAGTTTCACATTCAGAGCCAAGTGGTGCTAGCACAGTGAGATACAATGCCAAGAGGTCAAAGAAAGTGTCTGGAGGTAGCATGAGATAGAAGGTTTATTAAAAATGCTGCAGGGAGGCCTATAGTTGTAGCTCAGTGATAGAGCCCTTGCCTAGCATTTGTGAGGCCATTGGGTTCAATCCTTAGCATCACATAAAAATAAAGAAAGAAAGAAAGAAAAATGCTACAGGGAAGGCTGGGTGGTTAGACAGATAGCCCTTCTGTCCTTCACAGTTTCCTTGCTAAGTTATACCTCCATCCCTCCCAATGTTACTTTAGAAAAAATAGTGTTTCCGTTCCTCAGGGTGCCGTATCCAGTGGTGGCCAGTCAGATGAGTGATATCCACTCTCTCTACAGTGCCCTCAATTCTGCACCATTACCAAAGGGAGGGAAGTTTTGTAAGTTAGGCTGCAGAGGCTGTGACATCATTAGCTTAACTTGCTCTGTCCCATTCTATGATCAGCGTGGCATGTTTGTAAGAAAGCACCTTTTCTATGGATAACACTAACTTGCCCTGAGAGAAAGAAAGTGTCCTTTGAGATAATATTTCTCTGGACATCAGGCACAGACTTACTATCATTGTTCCCTTAACTTATCCACGTTCTTGGGAACAGAGAGGGGCATTTTAGGGACATGCTTTTTGTTGTTGTTGTTATTGTTTATCTGATGTTTGTGTTTACTGTGATGACACAGGTAGTACAGACCAAGAGTCTGAAGACCTTGGCTCTTTGTCTTGGCTTAGAAAAACTTAAAGTAGCCAAAAAGATAATCAAACAGAAATGAATTAAGCCAACCTGGGAACCTCATCAAGTCCTGCCCCTATTGTTTCTCTTGTATATCAGGTTGTAAAAAAGAAAAATAAATTCTAATTTGTTTAATTTTTCTGCATTTTATTTATCTATAGGAATGCCTTTTGCATTCTCTTAGTTCACTTTGTGTTGCTATAACAGAATGTCTAATTTTGAGTAAAATATAAATAATATATAAATATTACTCAAAATATATAAATATATTTGGCTCAAAGTTCCTCACAGCACAGCACCACTGTCCTGGACAGGGCCCTCTTGGCTACAACAAAGCAGAGAAGCAAATAGGAAGCATGTGAGATGGCCTCACTTTGTAACAACGGCTCTCCTGGGAACTAATCCACCCCTGTAGATCCTCACACAGTCTCGACCTGCATTAATCTCTTCTGAAGGTGGAGCCTCCATGACCTAATTATATGCTCTACCACCTCTCAGCATTGCCACACTAGGGATCAAATTTTTCATACATGATTTTTCGTCAGTTTGTGGGAGCAAGTATCATGCAAATCATAGTATGTTAATTTCTCCTTTTTTTTTTTTTTTTTTAAAAAAAAAGCATTTTGTTTTAGGAGTAGGGCATGAATTGGGAGTAAAAATTGTGCTCTTCTTTGTTTCCTTCATTGAAGTGTTGAGGATGTGATGTTTGCGGGCCTTCTCTGGGCAGTGGAGGAAAAACATGTTATGCTTTGCATGAACTATAGGGACTGCTTACATATACCTGGGAAGTCTTTTTTTTTTTTTTCCAGATTGCAGAAAACTACTTTATTTATCTGAACAAAATGTCAAATTTTACATTTATATAACTATTGGCAAAGCATGAAGTGGTCCTCCTTCACAAATGTGCATGGCATAGATCAGACAAGACCTTTGGTTCCCACAGGATAAGACTGTTTCTCATCACTGTGCTTTCTCACACCCCCTGTTTTCTGACCACCACAGTTTATTTTGGAAGACCATTGAATCCACACATGGAGACAGCAACTGTCCATCCTTCCTCCTACAACCAGGGATTCCTTCTCCCAAAGGCTTTAATGGTAGCCTCTAGCCTGTTCCAACTTCCTTAACATGCCCATCTTATCCTTTGGATACTTGCCTTGGCATTATCTTCCTCTGGTTTTCCATGGGTCTCACCTTCCCCCTCCACACTTCTGTTCTCTGAGTTCACTCATGGCTCTGAAAAGCAACATCTACCACACCTAAATTACCTTTGGTTGTGGAACATGTGGACCATGCCTTTAGATATGGAGGCACACTGAATATTATGGCCTCTTCCACCCTGAAACTTGCAATTTCCCTCCACAGTAAAGAGAGGGTTATGTCCATCTTTATGTGGCACAGGACATTCATCCAGTAAATGCAAAACACATTTAAAAATCTTTACACATTGTGAGATGCAACAGAGATACACAAAAGTACCCCAAACATCTAGGCACAGACAGAAAAGCAAACCATCATGAAGCAGCCTCTGCAGATACCACCTGGGCAAA